TGTACATGGCACTTGGAACCACCTCCATGGGTATCTAGAGCTACCCGGGTCTTTTATGGCCAATATTGGCACTTGCACAAGTCAGGACTCCTCTATCACCAGTCACAAACCCAACCCATGCTCATTTGGGCAAAACCAAAAAAACCTACTGCCTTAAATGACCCAATAAGGGGAAAAGCATGGGTAGAGCTGACCTTGGGAATGAAGGCATCCAGGGACTGGTGCCCTCTCTCTCCCTTTTCTACTCTCTCACCCTCTCTGCCTCTCCCTCTCCTTCTTCCCTGTCACTCACACACACACACACACACACACACACACACCCCACTCACCTCTCCTCCTCTCTCTGAAGTGACTTTATTTTCTCAGTTGCTGCCCTGCGGGGAGGGGACATGGCTGTCAGACTTACATTCTTATAACCGTCCACAAAGGACAGTAGAGAGTTTTTCCTATTAGCTCAGGTGGGAAAACAGAAAAAAACCAGGTAGCCTATCTTGAATCTTGTGCCTAATAATAAACCAATCAGTGTGGCCTGGGGAGGATGTGTACGTGTGTGCATGTGTGTGCATATGTGTGTGCATGGGGCTCTGGTTGGCTCAGATGCCTAGCCACGTGCAGGATGGGAGAGTTTAGCTGCCAAGAGAACCTTGTGGGTGGAGGGGTGAAGAGGATTTCCCTAAAGGAAGGGGATGGTATTTACAAAAGACAGAAAGAAAGGTGCTGGGAGATTTTTTAAAAATGTCTTCATGCGTTGTTTCATTCACAAATATTCGTAAGTATACAACAACTAGAAGAAAATGGAGTCAGCAGGGAACTTAGTCCTGATGTTGATAAACTGGCTTTCAGGAGCATTCTGAATCTGTCACTTAACTCCTGACAGATACTAGTAAGTGCCAGACATTTCTACTTTAGTGCAGGCCAGTCCTTAGGAAGATAGCTCCCTGGCTCATGCAGTGAGAGCCAGTGTGCCCGCCCGGGCCAGCTCCTCTCCTTCTGCCTCATTAGCCTTCATCACCCATGGTGGACTTGGGGTTCCCTGAGGATAAGACCTGTGTCTCATTCCCAGTTGACTTCCAGCACATGGCATGAGACTGGGCACATAGTTGATGCTCAAGGAATGTCTATCAAGGGAATCAATGAATAATAATAACTGGGCTGGCAGCAAAACTGATAGACCACGACTGTGGTGCTGTTATCCTATCTGGGGCCACACCCGAAGCTGTCTACATTGCCGACGAGTGTCACCCATGGGAAACAAATCAAGCATGAGGAGTAGAGGCCTGGCACCACAGCCTGTGTCTCGCACATGAATCCAAATGCATATTCGTACGATCCACAGGCATGATTAACTTGGGAAGTTAGCAGGAAGCAGTCAATCTGTTGAGCAAGTTTGTGTTTTATAAACCAGGTGTTCGGTATTATTATTCATCATTTCCTTTGATACTAGAACAGTCCTCATTATGAAGCATAGGAAATGAAGGATATGGAATAATATATACATATTATACAGCAGAGTGCCACAACCAAGCATTTTGGAGGCCTGTTCAAAGCCTGGGCAAGTGTAATTGAATGGCAGTTCATTTTAGGATTCCCACTTGGACTTGAGTTAATGGGCTTTTGCCGAGATGGACCATGGTGACCCCCTTCTCCCATTCCTACCCTTTGGAAAATGAATGTTGACTCTACGTCTGCGTTTTTCTTGGAAGCCACATGTATGAATCATAAGCAGCTCTTGCCTCAGCAGCTGCTACAGGTTAAGGGGCCAGAGAAAAGCAGGGACCCCCTAGTGTCTGGGGACAGAGCATGTCTGGCTGTGGTTGGCTGCATAACTTCTGCTTGGTGGTCTGGAAAAAAACTCTTGCCACTGGCTGCTATTTCCTATGGCAGGAGTACTGAATGCCTTTCGATCATAAAATATTTACAGTGCAAATTAACTTTCAAATTGATGTTTCTGCTCCATGAAATGTTTAAGATTCACAAAACCCAGACCTGTGGAGACTGGGAAGGAGCTGGAGGGTCCGGAAAAGCATCTTCATGTCACGCGAGTGATATTTCAGGTGTCCAGCCAGCCTCGTGGCCATACTGATGAGCTTGTACATCGGGAAGGTCCAGGGTAGGGCCCTAGCCAATCCAGTTCCAGTCTGGGCCAGAACTGCCCCTAGGAGCGGAGTAGGTGAGCTCATAGCATCTTGGCTAGACTGAGCTCACTGCATTTCCTCTGTTTACCTGCGGCTGGTTACAAATGAGGGGTTTCAGTACAGATGAAATATTATGGGGATTTCATTTTAGGTAATGATGATGCAGTAATTACATTTGGAATTAGCCCCTGAGTGGAGTTGACACTATATTCTGGCTTAATATTTGGAAGTTAGGTTCACATGATCTAGTGTTTGCACCAGGACAAGGACCAGTGATTTAGAATTGATTTTACTGGTTGAAGGGGAAGAAAAGCTTCATTTCTCATTATTGTCAATGGTATGTTTTGATTTCGTTCATGATATGTGTTGGCCTTGCTTGAAATTTTGACTTGAGTTGCCCAGGGTTATGTATCAGCTCAAATCAGCTTTCTTTACAGCATTAAGAATTACTTAAGGAGTCGGGATGTGGGGAGATTTCTGATTCTGAGAGGGATGTTCACTGCGGGTCGGTTCTGCCTTTGAAAATGGCCTTGCACGCCCGCAATGGCAGCCATACTATATTTTAAGTACTTTTAGCAAAAGGTTGGAACTGGTTTTCACACACTGTTTGACGTGGTTCCTGGCAATAATAACTGTCAACATTATCTCATAGTTCATTTTATTTAGTCATTAATTTTATGATAAAGTTGTTTACTTATAATATGCAAATTAGGCTGCCCCCGAGACTAGACTACATGATTATCATGTGTACTAGTAAGAGTTCTCCAGAGAAACAGAAGCACGGGAGATGTAGACGTATGTTGTTCTATATCTTTTCGGTATGTATTTGGAGAGGGGGAGGGATTTGTTTTAAGGAATTGCCTCGCCCAACTGTGGGGCTGACACTTCTGAAATCTGTAGGGCAGGTTGTCAGGCTGGGACTCCAGGAACAGTTGGTGTCGCAGTCTTGGGGCTGAAGGCAGCCTGGAAGCAGAATTCCTTCTTCCTTCAGAGATCTGTTTTTCTCTTAAGACTGTGAACTGATTGAAGAAGACATACCCACATTATGGAGGGTAATCTGCTTATCAAAGTCTACTGATTTAAATGTTAATCGCATCTAAAAATTGTTCACAGCCACACCTAGATTGGTGTTTGCTCAAACAACTCGGCACCATGGCCTACCCAAGTTAATACATAAAATTAACCACCTTGTGTATTATGGGGGGAATAAAGACCCATCTTGATATGAATGTAAAACTAATAAAAACATTCCCCCCTCTATTCCTGTTAGGAGTTTTTCCCAGACACAAGCTTCTCTTTAGTTATCATGATTATTGATGATGGAAAGGATTGCTCTATAACAGTGCTTCTCTTCTCGAGTGATAATATGCATACTAATTATTACAATAAAGGTTCAGATTTGGAGGGTCTGGGGTGGGGCTTGGGATTATGCATTTCTAACGCACTCCGATGCTACTTTCCATGTACCACAGTATGATTAGTGGGGATCGACAGCTTGAAGAATCTATTGGAAGGACAGGATGGGTGGAAGGTGGGCTGAGTTTAATGACCTTTTCTCAGGAGGACAGCCAGTCTATGGGGACCTCAGTCCATGGGGGCCTCTAGATTTTAGGATATTCTTTTTATAATGCCTCTTCCCTAGAAGACTGGGAAGCCTTACCTGATTTTGCTATGGAATTAAAGCTATGGAGAGGTGCCCATACATCAGAAAACTCTCTAGACTGAAGGTAGTGGAGTCTCCTTCACAAATCGTCTCGGTGGAGGCTTGAATGGGCTATGAAGCCAGGAAGTTTCCTCCTCCTACCGGACTTGCCATGCCAATTTTGGTTCCTATCAGCAGTGCCACACACCTTGATCTCATTTTGGACTCTGCTACTTACTAGCCTTGTGGGCTAGGAGGCAGGGGAAAGAACTGGCATCCTTTCAAGCACCTTCATATGCCAGGTACCATGCTGGGCTGTTTCACATTTTATCTGCATGGCAACAATACTGTAGAATAATTGGCATTATTTTATCTGAGGACATGGAGGCTTAGCTAATGCAGTTAATAAAGATTCAAGCTAAGAATTACAACCAGGTTTGTCTTGGCCTAAAGCCTACTGTGGTCCAGGACTCTGTTTCCCCATTTGTTATTGGGGGCAGAGTAGGGGTTCCCATCTGGTTCCCAACACTTTGTGAGAAGTAGATGTGCGGGCGGGTCTCAGTGCATTTGTGTGCAAGTCAGAGGGCCACAGAGTGTGTTCCGTGCCACCTTTCAAGGGCTGTTGTTTCAGGAGAAATGTTTAGCTTCTTAGCAGTGATTTTAGGGATCAGATGATCAAGCTATTTTCTGTTTTTGTTTTGTTTGTTTTTCATCTGGGACTGGTGTGCAAAGATCTGTAGAAGTCCAAAAGGGTCTTGACTTGACCACGTTGGGGAGAGAGAGTAAATGCTTCCAGATTCCATTGTTTCCAGCAGAGGCAATTCTAAAACCCCTTACATTCATGCTTTCTGATCAATTTTCAGAATACAGAGAACCATTAACATCACACATATTGGACATAAATGTCTGCAAAGTAAAATTATAAAATTGATCTGCGTTATTAAAATAAATCGTTAAGACCAAGAGGCTTTATTTGAACCCAAATGACTGAATGCTGTGAACAGATCAGCTGGAGCCAGGGACAGGGATACTCATCTGCAAATAAAGACCCTGCACCTCCTCCCGGGCGAGAGGCTTGAGTAGGCAGTGGTCCACTCCCAACTGCCCCTGGTCCTCAGAGGAGGGACAGCCGAGGGGGATGGCCTCCAGCCCTGCAGTTTCCAGGTCAGTCTCAGGTAACCGGCTTTTCTCTCTCCATCCAGCTTGCTGATGATCAGGGCCTTGTCCTCATGACCACAGTCGCCATGCCCGTGTTTAGTAAGCAGAACGAAACCGTGAGTACAGTGACTGTGCCCCCTGCTTGTTGCCAGGAGGGTTGTTTTCTGACTCAAGCTCTGGTGACCTTCATTTATTTATTTCATTTTAAGGAGAGAGGGTGTGTAATTTTCCCTCACTGTTGGAATCATGAAATCAAGCACAGATGAGAGGAATTCAGGCAGCACCATTTTACAGGGGGCAACACTTTCCCACCATTTAATTGTTAAATGGCCAGAGGAAAGAAGACCCCAGACAGAATCCTTGATTATGGTGGATGACCAGTCTCCCATTGGTAGCTGCCAGCCTGGTATTAGTGTCCTAGGGCTGTGGTATCAAAGTTCCACGAATGGGGTGGCTTAAAGCCAAGAAGTTTATTCTTATGGTTTAGGAGGCTAGAAGTCCAAAAAAATCAAGGTGTCAGCAGGGCCATGCTTCCTCTGAAGGCGCAAGGGGAGAGTCCTTGCGTGGCCCCAGACTTCCCTTGGTTTACGGCAGCATAAGTCCAATCTTTGCATCAGTTTTCACATGTTCTCTACTGTCTTCCTGTCCTCTCCTCTTAGAAAGACACCAGTCCTTGGATATAAGGCCCATCCTAAATCCAGGATGATTTCACCTCGAGATCCTTAACTAATTACACCTGCTAAGACCCTATTTCCAAACAAGATCACATTCTGAGGTTCTGGGTGAACTTGAATTTGGGGGAAACAGAGGACAGTAGCAGTTTGTATCTTCTTCCGGAAGGCATTCCTGACATCAGAAAGTTTCAGCGCATCACATTGCCCTTGGAAACTGGGACCCCGAAGGCCTATTCCTTCACTTCAGTTCTTGGTTCCAACTGGCTGCTAACAATCTTAGGGTTATTTCTTCTTTCTCTGGCTATTTAGTCTCTCTCTCCTGGGCACCAGATGGTAGTGTAAATTGAGAAAGCAGTTAACACACTATAAGTCTTTCCTGTAGAAAGCTTCCATAAGAGAAACTGATTAATGATCACAGTCCTTAGCTGCTGAAACTTTAGTGCTTCTGCACATCAATTCTTCATTTTCAGGACAGAGAGGAGAATTAGGGTGTCTTAGTATGAGTGTGTGTTGAGAGTTGTAGCTGTTAATGTTTGGCCTGAGAAGCTGCCATGCTTATCTAGTAGCATTTGGGTGGGGGATGGGGAACAGAAAAGGGTTCCTCTTGGAGATATTAGTTAACCTCCAATCTCTATCATTTTGAAGAAAGCACCAGATGGTGACCTATGGTATGTGGCTTCTCATAAGGTTCTAGTTTTTCTTCCAAATCAACTTACTATTGCTATTGTTTAATGTTTGTTTTCAACAGAGGTCGAAAGGCATTCTGCTAGGCGTGGTTGGCACAGATGTCCCAGTGAAAGAACTTCTGAAGACCATCCCCAAATACAAGGTAACACATTGCTTACTTAATAATCAAGGGCCAAATGTTCAAGATAATTTCACAATCTGCCATAGTAACTATTAAAACACAAAGTAAAAAGGCTTTCTTTTCTCTGTCTGGAAGGCTCTGTTTCGGGGGTAGGGGGAAGATCTCTATAGGTCTATGCATGCCTACCCAGGTTCACATGGGCCAGTAGAGTCTACACAAGTCTATGCAGGTTGACACAGGTCTAACTTCTCTGATGGTCTCCTAGGCCAGTCCGGACTCACCCCAGTCTGAGGACCCTCTAAAATCTGTTACTTCTTAGTAGAAGCCCAGTGAGGCACAGAGAAAAATGGTCGCTGACTGTAGGAAAGAGTATTCCCTCTGTTTTGGAAGGTGATGGGCTATACATTAATATTCCTTTCCTAATGCTAAATTAAAAGTCATGGCCTAAAAGCGTCGTATGGCTTTTTAAACTTTGGGCATAATTGAGGGAATGAAGTAGGTGATTTTGGAACAGAGATAAAGCAGGCCTTGCTAGGCCACTGCTTTGGGCAGTTAGAACAACACGAGGGGCATTGAAAGGCAGGGGCCCCTGGAGTAGGAACACTAGATGGAAGGGATTCAGAAAGGGTGTGCAAAGGCGAGAGCCCAGCTTTGCACATGAGGCCAGCCCTGCATCAGGGAGAGAGGAGTCATGCCATGCTGTATGCCCAGCACTCTGCTCCCAGCACTACTCCTTCGATTTATTTAGTTCGTCTACACTTGGGGATGGAGGGGCTCTCATAGCCCCAGTGCCACCCTCAGCCAGCCCCACTCCAGTTCCCATGAGAAAAGCACCCTGTCTTCCACACGACTTCCCAGCGGCCTGTGGACTGGTGCCTGCCTGTCTGGGGCAGGTGGACACAACCCAAGCTCCCACCTGCAGCTGACCAACGGCACTGCCTCCCGGCTGGCTGGAGAGGGTGCCCGGTTGCTATGAAGGTGATGTGGTGGCAGTAGACATCTGGGGATCCATGGAGATAAGATTAACTGGTATTTCTGTTCCCTGGCTGCTCGAGGTGTGCTGCCGTGATTAAATAAACACTTTAATGGAATTAGAGCATTGACGCACCAGGAGCCTGGTTTCCGTGGGTCAGACTTGACACCCACTTCCTTTAGAGCAGCGCTGTCCTGACCATAGCCCTCTACTTACCTCCACACACACTGCCTGGGCTCTGTGCTGCCCACACAGCTCCGAGCAGGTCTTTTTAAATGTAAACGGACTCACTGCTCTTCTTAATTACCCCTTCTAACCTCAGCCTGCCGTGTGCAGTCACAGTGGAGATGTGCTCACGCTGCTCTCTGAAACACAGAGTAGCCAGGGGAGTGACGTGGCTGGGCTCACCTTTTTAAAAGATGGCCCAGCTCCTTGAGCCCTACGCAGAAAACTCTCGTCTGTTGCCTCGTGGGGGCTCCTCAGAAGAGCAAGTCAAAGGCTGGGGAGGCAACGTCCTCAAGCCCGTCACAGCCAAGCGGAACTGCGCCTGAGCGTGGGAGGGCGGGACAGGGCCACAGTGGCCCCCGCTCCTGGTCCTAAGAGGTGTTCACTGAGCCCACACGGTTCCCCTGACTGCACAAGGGTCGAACCCAGACCTGCCCCTCTTCCCAGCACCGAGCACACTGGCTCGCCCGTCTCCCTTTCGTGCCCACTCATAGACTGACAAGGGCTCTCTTTGCCCCCATTTGGACGGAGGCAAGCTTTTCCAGCCAGGAATATTGGGTAGTTGCCTGGCCAGCAGGGCCCCTTCCCTACCACCTCCTTCCATGCTGAGCCTGCTTGACCACAGTTGTGAGGGGCCCCTGGGCCTTCCAGGCTCGCAGCGGAGGAAAGCAGAGGAAGGCAGCGCTGAAGGTTCTGGAGGCCGACACGCACAGGGCCCTGCCTCCATTGCCCAGGAGCTGGGTGTGGATCGGCCTCTCAGCTCCTCCTCTGTCCAGCAGTGATAGAACCTGCTTGTAGACTTGCCTGAAGCATTGACCGTTGTCATTAATCGGCAGCACAGTGGTCAAGGGGACAGTTGTGACACGCAGACTCTTGGTACCCACGGCCCTCTCCAACGTGGGATGCTGCCTGCATAGAGCTACTGACGGCCTTCGCATCCCAGATGCGGGCACCTGTGGCTTCACGTCCACGGGGCCTTTGCTAACCTAGAATGCCCAAGAGAATGACGAGGCAGCCACACTCTGGGGTCCTCGCCACCTTTAAAAATGGGGTTTTCCAAGAACTTTGAAAGGCATGGGGAAAGGCTTATGATCCAAGGTCACATGTTTTAGGCAGGATTCTTAAGTTTGATGAAAGCACAGGCCTACCTTTTGACAGAGGGTTGGGGTAAGAGCAAGAGAATAGATCAGCCAGTCACAGGGTGTCACAGCAAACTCTTGTCCAAGCAAGTCAGCTGAACGGATGGCTGCAGCCAAAATGATCAGATCTCACCTTAGAGGGTCAAATGCAAAAGGAGAGGTGCAGAAAAAAGGCTGTTAAAAAAGCATTGCCTTGTGGTAGGAGACAAGGTGCCTCATGGTGCAATAGTAGCAGATGACAGTGGCTGAGAACGCGGTGCTGTGGAAAGTGCGTTCCCCAGGCCACGTTAGCAAGTCCTCAGGTGACGGCTGTGCCGCTGTATCCCTTCCACTCACAGGAGACCCGGCTTCACGGGCGAGTGTCCACAGAGTGCAGGCCACGTAAGTAGGAAGGGGTGGGTGTGATCTCAGCCAGGCCTGTGTGACTCCTAACCACGTGCTTAGAGGAGATCCCAGCCGTTCGCCTGCCACTGCATGATTTGTTGCCACGCTCATAGACCATCTGTACCGTTATTTACTTAACACTTCCCTTGTGCATAAACTCAGAAGTTTCTTCACTTAGCTCAGTTTTAATAGGAAACTCCATAGCACCATTTTAAAAGAAAAGCCAGTGTTATTTGCCATTATAGAGGGTAATTGTAAAAAAAAAATCATAAAAACAAAATAATAGTAATAGGTGATTGCTTGATAATCCAGGGTCCTGAGCTTGAAGTCTGTTGTCTCTTTTTTAAGGTAGTATTAAAGGCAAGTGCTAAAGGTACTAAATAGAAACAGATAGATGATAGATAGATGATAGATGATAGATAGATAGATAGATAGATAGATAGATAGATAGATAGATAGATAATAGATAGATAGATAGATAGATAGATAGATAGATAGATAGATAGATAGATGATAGAGATATATTTGGAAGGATGGGAGGAATTGGAAAAGGCTCACTCTCACTAAGTGATTCTGGCTCATAAGTTTAATGTTTAATACCAGGCCCTTATGCCATTTTAAAATGATCTTGTTCTACATTCTGTTTTTCCTAAGAAAGCAAAACAGTCTATGGGAACATGACAGAGAGCTGAGAAATGAGGCTCCTGGGATTTGTTCATCCTGCAGTCCTGGGCACCCTGCCTCTGGGGCTCCCCTCAGTTCCCAGCATTGGTGCCATCACCACCACCCATAAGCCCACATTGCACCTCCACCTGTCAGTCCAGGCTTCTCAGAGTCCCCAGAGGGTCTGGCTTTTCCCCAGCACTTCCTATTGGGTCCTTAGCACCTGCTCCACCCCTAGAAAAATGAGCAAGCAAGGCCTGTCTATTCCCATACACTGATGCCATTTAGATCAAATTAGAAAGAAAGCCACTTGTATCACAAAGAGGAAATGAACTCTAAGCTGAAATCAGGTGTCCAGGCCCACAGAATGTGCCTCCTTAGCAAAGAACTGTCTTACTTGGGTTTATTGAGATGACAAAGGCCTCCTTCATACTGCCACTGGGGGGCCCTGACAACCAGCCACATCCCCCACCAAGGCTTTTACAGTTGAGGTTAGGACAGCTGGTTGATCCAAACCCACATAAGCAAGTGCTGGAAACTGTGCAGATCCCCAGAGACCGAGAGCCAAAGATTGAGGGAGAGATTTTTGAGCTTCCTAAAGATAATTTTATTGGATCCCCAGACCTAGATGCCCAGAATCGCTGGCTTACTGTTTAAGGAAGGGCACCCACCTTGAGGGAATGTTTCCAGACAATTCTTAAACCTTTTATTTCATCTGAGATGTAGAAACCCAAATCTAGGACCCCTTACTTAATAGATGCCCAGTAAATCAAGAAACTCTGAGCATCATATGAAACTGATAACGATTACCCTGTGAGTGTATTTCTCAAAGCTCCCTCTGCCAGGAAAGGTGCTACGCTCTTTAGCACACTATCTCACTAAACAATAGGCAGACACTGCTGTTACCCTCATGTTATAGCTAAAGAAACTGAGGCACAGAAGGTGGAACTACCTCGCCAAGTTTCACAGCTAGTAAGCCGTGATTTTACCTGCCATTTACTACCCTAAAGCCATTAAGAACAATAAATGACAAATAATAATAACCATAGTTTAAATAATAGTTAAAATATTAACAATAATAGTTTAAACAAAATAAACAATGGAACACTTCTTAAACTTTTACCGTGTGGCATGGTAAAAATGTTTTACATGGGCTGTTCTCATTGAATCCTTGTTAGGCTCCCATGGAGTGGGTACAACGGGGCCCCATTTTTGCTTGAGGAAACTCAAAGTAACGTTCTCAACATAAGTTAGTAAAAGATGAATGAAACAAAGTGTAACAGGAGAATAGAGGAAGATCAGCCACAGGAAATTAACCAACAGTGCCTGAAATATGGGCACTTCTGTTTTATGCTGTCCCAGGGCCCTGGAGACACAGGTAGGACACAGTACACCTCAGTCGTTCCTCCTCTGGTTCCCACAAAACACCTTGGGAGGAGGTGTGCGTGGCAGCCAGGCCAGGCCGGGCCACGGCAGAGCAGCCTCTCATCCAGGAGAGGAGAGGAGAGCTCGGGGGAGCCGAGTGCGGATCACACCTTCCGGTCCTGATTAACACCTTGTAAAGATGAGTCAGCTCTTGGCTCTTGGGGTTTTCCCAGAAGATAGAACTCTTTCTTTCCCCTTAGCTTCATAGGTTTTCCCACAAGGCAATCAGACTTCCTGTAATTTTTATTAAGAATTCCAGACACCCAGGCAATAATTTCCAGACCCCACCACCTCTGTTAAGGTAACAAGTCATTTTATAATTGGGTTCACTTCATTAGCCCAAAGCCCCTGCACTTGGACAGGAGGTGCTGCCTTCCCGGCCGTGGGACCAGAGGCTCAGGCCTCCAGGAGAGCTGCTTCAGGACCGAGGCCCCCTTGGCAGCCCCAAGCGCTGGACCTCGTGTGTCCGATCTGTTCTCTATTACTCCGCGGGATGCTCATTGGAATGGACAGGAGGACGGGTTCTATTTCAGATGAAATAAAAATTAGAGATTTCATCAGTTTATTGAGTTGTGGCCAAAAACAAATGCTGGACATTGTCCTATTACAAGCTTTTGGTTTTCTGAGAGATTCGCCCACAGAATGTGTTTGGAGATTTGCTCAGAGTTTCTCTTCTTACATCTACGTTAGGTTACATCCATACGTCACCCACCAACCAGCAAACATCGTGATCTTATTTTCCCGGACTGTTCTCCTGGGGAGGCCTTTCACCAGATAGTTTCTGAATGTCAGGAAGACTTTCTCAGGAGCAGCTTGAGGAAGACTGAGTGTGCACCTGCCATCGCAAGTCAGCTTCTCTGTTTCGGCTCAATTCTAATATTAACTTTCGTTTAGACTTTAAAGATGAACTAGATAATATTTGGGTAAAAAGTGAAGAGCCTCTTAAGTACACACAGACCTTAACCGGAGCACCTGCCATGTGCCCGACATAATGCCAGGGCTTGCAGAAATCAAAGATGAGTAGCACGGCTCCTGCCCCACAAAGAACCCATTCTGATGGGGAGGCAGTGTCTTATCTAGAACAGGCAGGGGAAGGAAAGAGAACCAGCTACTGTTGGGAGGCAGAAAAGTAAGGGGAGTTTCATGCATAAAGGTCAAGGTAGGAATGGAGAAATTATCAGGGTTTTATGGAAACATGCTATGGAAAGAAGGAAATAATGGGGAAGGTCAGGAGAGACTTTTAATAGGCAATGATCCTGAGGCTGAGCTACAGCATGGTGAGAATTAGCTAGGGGGAGACAGGGAGGAGTGGTGCTGTAGGCCACTAGCACTGCGGAGTGAAGGTCTAGGAAGGAGAAGCTGCAGGGGGTTGTGTCAGTGGCATGCGCCTCGAGAGGCAGTGAGTGGAAGGGGGCAGGGCTGGGGGCCTAGGTAGGGACCAGTCCCCAGGGAGACCTGATGGACACCGGATTTCATCTTCCACATGAAGAGGTCTTCAGTGGGTTTTACTCAGGGGAGCAACAGGGCCAGAGTTACCTTTGGCTTTGACCAGTCTTAGAGTGACTTGGTTGCGGCCAAGTTTTGAGGCAGAAAGGCAGGTTTCCACTTTGAGGTGGAAATCTATTACATTCAATCTTCATGGAAGGAAGTGTGGAGAAGCAGACTTGAATGTGAGTAATTTCGGGAATAAAAATTAGTGATGACTTGGGTCAAGAAGTTCAAGATGAAAGAGAGAAACAAGCCTAAGGACGATGCTTTAATTTCTAATGTGGGCATCAGGGTGGGCGGTGGTGCCACCATGGAGCAAGAAGGGCAGGAAGAGCCACCGTGATGGACCAGGGGTGATATCCAGTTGCCTGAGGGATATTCGGGTGGAAATGACCGGCACGTAGCTGGGTGCTTGGATCGGCCACTGAGGGGAGAGGCCGGGGCTGGAGCTCAGAAGTGGAGATGACAGCATCCAGGTGGTTGCTGAAGATTATTGGGAGAGAGCTGAAGCAGACAAGCGCCCTAGGAGAGAAGCTGAGGCTCAGTGGGTGCTTGAGCGGTGCCTGGGGGATGAGGTCCTGTGGAAAGGAGACCCAGGAGTATGGGCCCTGGGAGCTGAGGAAATACAGTGGAAAGGGAAGGGGGCAGTACCGCCTCCAGGAAGATTCCAGAGAGCGCTGTCTATAGAGTTTGGTAATTAGGAGGCCACTGGCAACGGTGGGGAAGGGAGTTCTGGTGCCATCTTGGGGAGGGGGGCACGTTCTAGTCTAGTCGGCTGGGCCACCAGGAAGCAGAGGTCACAGGTAAAGGGTGAGTGGAGTGGAGGACGCTGGATGGGGCGGTCAGCTCAGCCTCTGCACCCCGGGGGAGAAAGCAGGGTTTAGATTAGCTTTGTAGAACCTGTGCTCAATTCAACGTGTGTTATGGTTTCCCTGCTTCCTCCTTTTACTGTTTCTGGTTTCCCTTCTCCCCTTCCCTCCATCCCATCCACCCCTCCACACCTGGCATGACCTTGGCCATCCTGGAACTCGTAGGGAGACAGGCATTGAGTCATCAAAGCCCCTGACTAACGCCTTGGTAATGTATCGTCAAACCCACAAATAATTGGTTACTATCATTTTGACACGTGCCATACAGGGAAAGTGGAGAGCCTTAAGGGAGCCTGTGCAAGGAGCTTTGTCTTCTTGTGAGTATTACTTCCTACAAGCGAACCAAGAACTGAAGTGATGTACATTGGAAGGCACTGAATACATTAGCTTACCCTATCATTTGTTTGGTCTGATTTTTAGCTCGAATTTCCAATGAAATACCACTTTTGCCTTTAATGGAAAAAGTCAGACTCTCCAAGTCCGTTTTGACCCCTCGGGTTCGTTTTAAACTGGGACATAATAATGGTAATTAATGCAGTGTTGACTGTGTCTGACATTTTTCCAAGAGACAAGATGAAAGAGACGTTATGCATCTCAAAGGATAGGAAACCTCTGGTTTATCTTTCGCAGCATAATGAAATATACTTTTATCATTAGGCTCAAGTAGAATGTAATTAAAACTTGCTGTGCAAGGTAAGTGCAGGAGAGGATGCCTGTTGCCCTTGACGACCACGTGCACATTTGCTTTATATAATGCAAAGGAAACTTTTAATTGCCAGTGTTAAATTCTCTGAAGTTAGTTTCACATCACCTCGACGTTAAGCGAAGAAGCAGATGGGGTCATTCTTGGTTTGTAAACTCCGTTGTCTGGATCATTTAATAGGATCATATTCAAGACTGTGATCGGCAGAGAATTCTAAAGAAAAGTAACAGTGAGAGCTCTGAACTATGAAATAACTCATCGGAAAAAAATAGAGGATTTTTTTTCCTCTCCCCTTTTACTGCTCTGGCAAAAGTGGGTTACATTTTCTCTCTTCAGAGAGAGAGAGATCAGTATGGGTTTTATGCCAGAGGCCATTTTAATACATGAATGATTTGTAGGTAAATTTATTGTAGCCAATGGGTGCAGTCAACTGTGTAATAGAAATATTGTCAAAAAGCCAGGATTATTATTTAAATAAGTGCAGTGTTAAATTTGATTACATACTTTTTAAAGCTAATAAAACATTTCATTGCTCTCAAACTATTTCCCATAGTCCCATTTAGTCAGAAAACATAAATTAAGTGAAGCTCTGCATAGAAAATTACCCAGGCTTTGTGTCGATGGAAGCAGGCATGGAAAAGCTTGGCAGCCTCACAATTTAAAGACAAAAGGATCTGAAAGGGGTTGGCAGGCTCCTCTATAGGCTGGGTTGGGGGGGGCTCACTTCTACCCTTGAAGAATTATAAAAAATGACTGCCTAGGAGAGTGCGTGCTGGAGGTGGCCCCTATGGATGCAGAATTGTAGGCAGCCTAGATGTGAATCAAAATGAGGTCACCTCTTCCCTTGTCAAGGATAGAGAGAAGACACTCAGGTCAATAAAATTCCATTCCCTTGGACTCAGGGTCTTCCAAAAATATTAGCCACTTTCTTTTTTTTTTAAAAAAAAAAAGTAATTGTTTTTGTTTTACATAAATCAAAGTAAAGCCTTTGATGCCAATGTAGGGATGTGACATTTTAAATGGTGCTGTTTGCTGAGCTGATCCTGTGACAGGTCTTCATTTCCACCAAATGTCAAGGATCAGCGCCTCGCATTCATTTTAATGAAATATTGTGCTGATAAGGGTTATGAATGCCAAGTTTAAGCTGTAAATTACTAAACGCCGGGCTGCTTTATGCTTTGTGAACCCACCAGGGAGCAAGCTAATGAAGGTTTCTCTCTCGCTTCCCCTTACAGTTGGGGATTCACGGCTATGCCTTTGCAATCACAAATAATGGATATATCCTGACGCACCCAGAACTCAGGCCACTGGTAAGAGGAATACTTATTTCTGTGGTTCTCGTTTTATGATTTTAAGAGATTTTCTTCAGTTCTGCAGTGATGACACTTTGTAGCAGTTTTCACATTAAAAGCTGAATTCATCCTATTGTCTCCCAAAGGTTGTTTTTGCCAGTTAATAAGTAAACAATGTTGGATAGATGCAGTTACTCTCATGCTTTTATATATAAATCCACATACATCTATGTGCATTTATTTATTTATTTCACAGCTGCCAGTATATGGAATTTTTTTTTTTAACTTTAGACAGTTTGAAACACATCGCAGTGGGTATCTTTATATAACAAATTGTCTCACTCTCGACCCCAAGACTGACTTTTTGCAAGTTACATTTGACACAACAAATTAGTCCCAGGAGGATCCCTGGAAATTCATTATGATAGAATTGGCCCCCAAATTCTGCCTATACCCAGCACCTCCTGAGTTGAAGAGATTCAACAATACCTTTTTTGTTTCATTAAAACAGTTGAGATTTTCTCCATTTCCTGCCTAAGCCATATCCAGTAGCATTGTTTGGTGACCTGACCTGTAGAAAATTTTCTTTCCACACCATTTTCACTTTCTCTGCAGCAAGTGGGGTTAGGCCAAATCCAGGTCAGCTCATGACCCACCCCGCTGCCTGGGGAGGCTGCCTGGAGCCCCATGTGGAGGAAGCTTCCGAAGGGCAGCCAGACTGTGGGATAGGAGGCCGTGGTCCCCTGGCAGCATCTCCTGTGGGTGCTGGAGGGGCTTCGGTGGCAAATGTGCCGTGTTTTTTCATCTCCGGACTATTAGGAATGTGTTGAAAAAAGGGCATCCCTTTCGGTGTGTGTTTATCTCACGTTAAAGAAGATATAAAGGTATAAAAAGCACTACAGTAAATTCTGCTTTTGAAGTTAAAGTGTAGGTTTAGGTTGTTTCCTGTAGCAATCCACACATCCACACCCACACGTGCACACGGACCCATCCGCCCCACGCGGCTGGTCCTTCATCAGAATTAGAAAAGAGCGCAGTGCCTGCTGCGCAAATGTTTGCTGGCGAAGCATTGTGGGGACCAGTTCGCTTCTCGCTTGACTCATTGTTTAGAAAAGTCCCCGTCTGAGCTCCATCATCAGGCAGCTTTGCTCTAATCGCCCTGGTATTGAGGGAGTCATGGCCATGTCATGTGGATCCCATATGCACGCTCTAAATGGGAATTATGGTAATATTTGATTTCCACAATCTTTTTATCAGGAAAGGATTGAGTTAACTGGCTAGCTAGTTCCAAATGTGACTCCGAATTATGGAAAAGTCTGATTGAAACATATACTAACTTTCTAAGGATATTTAAGTCTAAAAACATACTTAGGTCTAAAGGGGTGATATGAGTTGTGTGTTTGGTGTGGCTCAGTCTGGCTCCTAGTGCTTATTTATTCCAAGGGGGAGTGGAACAGAGTAAATGAAACAATCAAACCTGGACGTTCTGCCAGGGAGCGAATTAACTTCCTATTTATCAGCTTTTAAAGAAGGCACGAAATGCAACCAGATGTCAGAAGTCACCAAGGTACTTTCGCTGTCTCTGCCTCAGTGGAAATGAGCAGCCCCCATCTGCACAGTGAACTCACAGTGTCTTTCCTCTCCTTTGTATCTTCTGGTCATGCAGCAAAAGGTCTGTTTGCAAATGCTCCATCTAATGCACTATTCAGAGCTGTAGCCGCAGAGAAGGCAGCCGAAAGGCTTTTAGCAAAGCAGGCCAACCAGGCAGCACCAATCTCCTTCTATCAGTACAAAAACAAATCGTTTCTGCTCTTCTCGCCTTTGAAACATTGCACTGAATGGTTTCACCGAAAGTGGCAACCAGGGTCAAGTTCCATCAATGGGATGGCCCAAGCAAAGGCCCCATGTCTCACCTGTGAAAATCCAAACCAGATGAACCATATTGCAGTTGATCTGTGATAAGGACCTAAGAAATAGCCAGGCCGTTTATCTGTCTCTGACTCCGAGGCCATGAGACCTTTAGAGGAGGTTTGGAGCAGTGCCAGTCATGGAGGATTACCCAAGCTCACCCTGAATGTGAGCTCGGGTAATCCTCTGAATGTGATCAATAAGTGGATATTGACTGTGCCTCGAGGTTTGCATTTTCCTCCTGGGAAAAAAATTGCAGTGAAGTGGAAGGAACTCAACTTCAGCACCACAGAGGTGGCCCTCGACTCCTAGTCCTGCCACATCCCAGCTGTGTGACCTTGGGCAAGTCACACCGCCTCTCTAAGCATCAGTTTCTCTTACAGGCCTGCCATAACCATAGTGTATATATCTTAGCTTGGTTTTCAGAGTAAGTGAGATAATGCCAGTAAAGGGCTCTGCGTGACAGAGCAGGCCCCAGGACATTGTGGGGGCAGTGGCGGTTACCTGGCACCTTGTTTGTGTTAAATTGGCTCTGTGGATCTGAGCTCAGCTGCTGCAAAGTTTGGGAGGACATGGTGGTGGTGGGTGCTTAGGGGTGGTTCAGGCTGTTACGGTAAACATTGGTGAGGGATGTACACACACTCCTTGGAATCATGCAACGTGCAGTCGATCCTAATTTCTGTGTACCTTCAACTTAGTCTGTAAAATCTCGGCTAAGCCTGTTTGTGCCTGTCTGCCTGCCTCTCCCTTCTCTTTCTGTCTCTCTGTCTCTGTCTTTCATATATCTCTCTCGCACAGGCACCCACCCACCCACATTCTCAGTTTTCTTGGCCAACTCTTGTCTAGAAGACAGAGGACAGCTGTACTGTACGGTTCTATTTGAGCCCTATCATGTGAGGAAGCCAAAGTTTTTGTTGCTGTTGTTTGTTGTTAAAGTAGCAGTAAGAATAGTACCAGAAGCTGCAGTAAGCAGAGATGGTCGTTAAGGGTGATCCACATGGATGGCATACTCCTGGCTTTGGCCTGTACAAGAAACTTGTTCATCTCTGTGTTTACGGTCCCCTGAACAACAGACGCTGAAAGCTTTCCCTGCCTTCTCCCTCGCCACCAGTCCACTCAGCACACAGTAGGGACCCTGGAGGTGAATGAATGAAGGCATCCTCCAAAACCGCTGTTTCCATGTTCACTCACTTAGGGTGGTTCAGATAATGTGATTTGTGAGCTCCCCCTGGAAACCCAGGGATTGCACGGGACACGGTCCACCCTGGTGAGAACCCTCACTCAGGGCCGGGGACAGCCAGCTGCCAGCAGCTCTTGGCGAGCTGAGGGTACCGGCAAGGAATCCTCACTCAGTCCTGACTCGCCTTCTCTAGAGTCCAGCCAGATAATCACATCCTTATTATAAATGCGCAGCCCCCTCTCTCCTGGCCAAGGCTACCCGATTAGCACGTTGGGTGTGAGTGCGGGGCTGTGGCCAGCGAGAGACGATGGAGTCAACTCCCTTAAAACAACTCCTGTTCCCTCTCCATCTGCCATGAGGTCGTTTCTGCCCCTGCAGCCAGAGGAAAGCAGTGGGTTTCTCTGAAGCACAATACCAATATTTTTCTAATTTGTCTAATAAAATCTTTCCCCTGAACTTAGTGTTTGGCTTGATTTCACCCAGTGTTTTCTTTAATCTTGTGTGATTTGGGTGTGAATCAGGAAGTGTCTCCAAAAACAGCTCAGATGTAGGGGCCTTACTCGGCCAACTTGCTTTGGTTTAATTGGCAAAACTGCTAAAGAAATACTTTTCCGTTGATAACTGGGCTACCATTAGTCTGTCCCCAGTTGTTTCTCAGGCACTCTGTCCTTGCCACCAGCCTGTCAGCTGTGGTAGGCTAACTGGCTAACTGACATTGATTCCACAAGCATTTGCCCGGTGCCTGGTGTGCTGGGTCCCGTGGACCAGGGGCAGATGTAGCCATCGTCGAGTGGGCTGGGGGCCGACTCGTGGGTAGAGACCCATACCTATTCCCTGGGTGGGGAACAGGACGACAGCACAGCAAGAGGGACTCGAGTTAGACCTTAAGGAATGCTTTCTGAGTCATTACAAAACACCTGGAAATTTTTTCTTGGTCTCTACCATTCTAACATTCGGGTTAAAATTATTTCCAAGTATAGTTACTTATACTTACTGTCTAGGTTGATGTGTTTTGCATTTTACTCTTCCCATCTCTTTGAGAGCTTTATGGATTTTTTAAAAACCTGGAACCCTGAATATTTCCCTTTTTCTTCTGCCCAACAGGGCCTCGAGGGAGATAAGACTGGGAAGGTGCCACCTATAGCATGATCTGATTTTTTGTGTGATTTTGGTGATTATCTCTCCCTCCATTGTTCCCCTTTAGAGGAAAGGAACATCTGAGTTGATTTCCTTCCTCAAGGAGGCCTGGAATGTGGGCCTGGTCAAATCACCGAGAGAAAATAAAGAAGCCCCCTTCCAGCAGCCGCAGGACAGGCTGGGCTCCACAGTCAGCCTGGGGCAGGCAAAACCTGAGACCTGCTTCCAGGAGCCCACGTTGCCATCTGCCAAAAGATGTTTGTTCAGTGTCTGTAAGCCTGGGAGGCGGGGAAGGGTGCTGGCGGGTTTCTGTTCTGGATGAAAATTTGCCACCCACATGGGCCACTGGGTGTGGTGGTAGACGCCATGGGAGGTAGGAGTAGTGGAGAGAAACCTTCATTCATTCCTTCAACATTTGCTGAGTGTCCACTATGTCCCAGGCCTGAGCAAGCTGCTCGGAGTGGTTACAGAGATGTGCCCTGCCTCAGAGAACTCAAAATCTAATAGACAGATAAGGTTTAATACTTAGGGACTATAAGTGACTATAGACACTACCAAGGAAAATGCACTTTTGTGTGCTTGTATTATTGGTCTTAGCATTTTCTTTCTAATGTTCGTTGATTGCTTTTTATGTCACAGGTACTGCGTGAAGTGTTTGACATGCCTTAAAGCTTTAATCACTAACTCATTTAATAACAAGCCTAGGAGGTCCAGAGCCTCCTTGGAAGGGTGTGTGTGAGGTCAGGCCTGGGGGGAAGATGGGTCTAGAGGCACCTGGAGTCAGATTATAGGC